ACCATTCCAGCTGCTTTACAATTTGAGTCTTGTCACTGATTGGTCCAAGTCTGGGAACAGGATCAGTAATACACACGTTGGCAGTAACATCAACACTAGCATCTGGAGCTGGTAACATTTACTATTGTGAAACTCTTGGAGGGTCATTGCTAATTATTTACTTGCATTTTGAACTTTCCAGTAAATATGTCCTGACCGTGGGTTTTCAGAAATGGAATCAAAGGATGGCTGGAAATCACAACCAGCATGATGTAGAAATCATTGGTACAGGTGACACGCTGTACCTGTTGTGGCAGTATTTGATACATTTTAAAAATTAGAAACAGAAGGAGGCCATTCAGCTCCTCAAGCCTGCTCCATTATTCAATATAATTATGGCTGATCCGATTGTAAGCTCAGCTCCATTCCCTGTCCTAGGAAAATTCTGAGTGACAGAATTAATCTCCAAAGCAAGGACTACTCAAGGATAGTCAGCATGGTTTTCTCAGAGAGAGATCAAGTCTGACAGTTGATTGGGTTGTTAAGGGAGGCGTGGATGAGAATACTGCAGTGGGTGTAGTTTTTTTTTTGCAAAATCTTGCATTGGAGACCCAATGGAATCCTTGGCAATTTGGTACATTGGATCCAAAATTGGTTTTAGTAGCAGGAGGCAGATGCATCAACAACAAAGGTTGTTTATGTGACTGGAAGCTTGTGTCCAGTGATGTACTGCAGGGCTCTGTGCTGGGCCCCTTGCCATTTGTAGTGTACATTAATGATTGAGACATGAATGAATGAGGTTTGATGTGGTGCCAGTCAAGTGGACTGCTTTATACTGGATATTGCCTAGGCTTTGAAGAGTCAGGAGGTGAGTTACTTGCTGCAGCATTCCTAGCCACTGACTTGCTCTCGTTGCTTCTGTATTATACAGCATGTCCAGTTCAGTTCTGGTCAAGGTAATCTCCAGGATGTTAATGGTGCGGGAATTCTGTGACAGTAATGCGATTAAATGCCATGACTGAAGATTAGATTCTGTCTTGATGGAGATCACTGAATCCCTGCAGTGTGGAATCAGACCATTGAGACCACAGTGTCCACACTGACCCTCCAAAAAGCATCCCACCCAGACACAACCTTGCAACCCTATCCCTGTAACCCTGCATTTCCCATGGCTAATCCACCCAGCCTGCACTTCTCTGGACACGATGGGCAATTTAGCATGGCCAATCCATCTAACCTGCACACGTTTGGTCTGTAGGAGAAAACCAGAGCACTTGGAGGAAACCCGCACAGATACGGGGACAATGTGTAAGTTGTCCTGTTTGGTCACTTCACCAGATTGACACCTCATTTTTAGGTATGTCTGTTGCTGCTCCTGACATGCCCTCCTGCACTGTCCATTGGATACATTCAGGCAAATATCAGTGGGGCCTGGGTTCTCTCGGGATGGGAACACTGGGAAGTGGGCTCAATCGGGATGGGAATATTGGGAGGCGGGATCACTTAGAATGGGAACAGTGAGAAGTGGACTTACTCGGAATGGGAATTCTGGGAACTGGGATCGCTTGGGTTGCGAATGCTAGGAGGTAGTTCGCTCAGGATGGGAATGCTGAGAGATGGACTTGCTTGGGATGGGAATGGGAGGGGAGGTGTGCTGGAGTGGGTCCTTGGTGATGAGCTTAATTAGTCTGCTACACGAGAGGTTAGACTCACTTGCTGGGGGCAGGTTTACTGTGAATGATACACTAAGGGGTGGGCTTCCCAGGGAGGGGTGGGTTCTTGAGAATGAGCTCACGGGATGTGACCAAACCTAAGGACAGATGGAGTAGCTTGCTTGGAGTAGCCTGCTTGGAGTAGCCTTACTGAGAATGGGTTTGTTGGGGATGGGCTTGAAGGTGGGCACACAGGGTGAGGTCACACAGGGTTTGGGGCTCAGTACAGGTGGGCCCAGTAGGGGTTGACTCACTGTCAGTGACATAGTGCCTTAACAGAAGGATCCAGCTGCCTATATTCCCACCTGCACGTGGTCCAGATAATTCAGGCCTGACAGAAGAGATTTCTCCTGATCTCTGTTTTAAATGGGAAGCCTCCTTACTCTGAAACTGCGACCGGTAGTTCTGAATTTCCCCCACAAGAGGGAAACATCCTCACAGCACATGCCCTATCAAGCCCTCTCAGAATTTAATATATTTCAATAGCAATATCTTTCATTCCTCTAATTCCAAAATCTGTGGTGATTGCCCAGTGCCAGTTTTATTGATCACACTTTGGAGTGAGGAATTAGTGTGGAAAGAGCAGGGTCCAGTTGTCATGCTGTCCAGTTGAGAGGGTTGGATTATGAGGAGAGACTGAATAGACTGGGATTATACTCATTGGAATTCAGAAGAATGAGGGGAGATCTTATAGAAACATATAAGATTATGAAGGGAATAGATAAGGTGGAGGCAGGGAGGTTGTTTCCGCTGGCAGGTGAAACTAGGACTAGAGGGCAGCACCTCAAAGTAAAGGGAAACAGATGTAGGACTGAGGTCAGGAAGAACTTCTTCAATCAAAGGGTTGTGAATCTGTGGAATTCCCTGCCCAGTGAAGCAGTTGAAGCTACCTTGCCGAATGTTTTTAAGGCAAGGCTAGATAAATTTTTGAACAGTAAAGGAATTAAGAGTTATGGTGAGTGGGCGGGTAAATGGAGCTGAGTCTCAAAAAGATCAGCCATGATCTTATTAAATGGCAGGGCAGGCTCGAGGGGCCGGATGGCCTACTCCTGCTCCTAGTTGTTATGTCCTTATGTGCTTCATGTAGGTGGCAACAACACAGGTAGGACTAAGACAGAGGTTCTGCAGAGAGGTTATGAGTCGGGGTTAAGTTAAATAGCGGAACCACAAGGGGAGTAATCTTTAGATTATACATGAGCCAGGAGTAATTTGGCATAAGGGGAACAAGATCAAACTGCTGAACAGGCACCAGTGCTGGGGAATGTGGGAACTATTTTGCTGGGATGGTCCTACCTGAACTATGGCAGGACTAGAGTTCTGCAAAACATATAACTAATGCTGTAGGGAGGGCTTTAAACTAAATGGATGGGAGAGTCATCTGGAAAAGCAACCAGAATAGTCAAGCCTATACTGCAGGGTAACAATTGGGGTAATGATTGTTGGGGTGTGACAGGAAGGGACTGAGAGCACAAACATAGTGTGCACCAGCAAATATGGTCAAAGTTGGCAAAAATGGTAAAAAGACAGAACGTAACGGCTCTTTATTTGAATGCATGCAACATTTGTAGCAAGACAGAAATATTGACAGCACAAACACAAATCAGTGTGTAATAGTGTAGCCAACATCAGAGACTTTGGAAGCAATGGCCTAGTGGTATTATCGCTGGACTGTTAATCTCGTGACCCAGATAACGTTCTGGGGACTCGAGTTTGAAGCCTGCCATGGCAGATGGTGGAATTTGAATTCAATAAAAATATCTGGATTTAAGAATCTAATGATGACCATGAATCTGTTGTCAATTGTTGGAAAAACCCATCTGGCTCACTAATGTCCTTTAGGGAAGGAAACTGCCATCCTTACCTGGTCTGGCCTACATGTGACTCCAGACCCACAACTAAGTGGTTGACTCTGAACTTCCCTCTGAGCAATTAGGGATGGGCAATAAATGCTGCCTAGCCAGTGACACCCTCATCCCGTTAATAAATTTAAAATAAATCATGGTTGCAAAGTGACCATGACTGAGGCCTGAGTATTGAAATGTTTTTGACATTTTGGGTGGACAGAAGGAAAGAGAAAGGAGGAGGGGTAGCTCTGTTAACAAGAAGGAGCTAAAGCACTATGTTCACAAATGAGACTCAGAGATAGTAAGAACTGCCGATGCTGGAGTCAGAGATAACACAGTGTGGAGCTGGAGGAACACAGCAGGCCAGGC